TTCTCCCTGCCCAGCCCTCTAGTCTGTCTAGTCTCACCTTAGCAGAGTAAAGGGGAAGAACTATCTTCCTGGATATGCTTCTTTTGATACAGCAAGGGTATGGTTGACTTTCTGGGCTGCAAACATACATTGCCAGATCATGCTGAGCATCTCATCAGCCAACACACTCCTGTAGTCCTTCTCTTCAGGGCTGCCCTCAATCCACTCATCACTCAGCCTGTATTTGTGCTTGGGATTTCCCCAACTGATTGCACTTGGCCTTCCTGCACAGGAAAAAGGGGTCATTACTTATAGAAAGTAATGACCTTTTGCCAGGTAAATCTTTCCAGCTTAGCAACTCTAGCTAGAACTTGAATCCTTGTGTTTTAGTAACGGCCCTTAATTTTTTTTTCTTCTAGCAATCTCTCCCTTAAAAATGGATAAGGAATATTAATTCCTGTGTTTCGTAGTATAAGATAGGACCTAGAATCTCAGACATTTTGGTACCTAAGTCCTATTGCATTAAAACAGGAATTGAGTGTCTTAAATATCTCTGAAAGGCTGAGTTTAGCTGTCTGAGATTAAAATGTGCTTTTTGCACATGCTTTGAGAAGGTAGTGTTTTTGTCACCTTCCTCCTTGAGCAGTCCATTATCTCAGGAAGGATTCCAGTGACGATAACAATGTTTCTGAATTCCTGGGTGTACTTTCGTCACCCATGCTTTTTAATCGGATGATGAAACTAACAAATATTTTAATACTTTGAATCTTCAGTTGCTGACGATAGTACCGGTGACTAATTGTGATGAATCTTTTTGCTGGGTAGAATTCTAGTGCTCTGTACTTACAAAATGTCTTACAAAATCTTGATTTACTTGTTAATTGGCTGAAGCATGTTTGGAATGTCTTTAACTGTTGAGGATATCCCTGCTCACATTGAAATACAATTCTTTCTGTCCATTACAGAGCATGAATGCTGTATTTCTAAGCAATATTTGTTCTCACTCTAATACGTTATGTACATTTGTACATATGTGATATGTACGTATGCTCACATATGTACATTATGTGAGCGTATGAAATAAATAGAAATGGAATTATGTAAATATTTTACATCCTGCTGTGTTTTGTTCATGGAATTTTTTACTTAAAATAACATTGGGTGAATCACTAGGAGAACATTGCAGCAGTTTGTGTTGCATGTTAAGTCTTATGTTTTAATATGCTTAGGTGACTCACAGTATTCCCGCCTGCATTGGTAGCATGATGATTAACAGCAAGCAACTGGACAGTGAGAGCCCTGTCTCCATCTTTGCTGTGAATAAATGCTATGTAACAGCGCAGGAGGGCACTTTTTTTGATGGGAGTGGCTTTGCTGCTCTTGGTAAGTGTCATTGAATGAAAGCAGTATCTTAATGAATTAATGTTAATGAAAACGTATTCTTTTTAGGTCTTGCTGGAACTGTATGTAATTAATTGACTCCTCACACAAAGAGTACATTCCCTGCATATGTATTTCTGAGTGCCTTTACTCCATACATCCAAAAACGAGTGTTTCTGCAAAGGGCTATCTTTCAAAAATGAAAGACCTAATGATTGTGGCACTGGGAAAGAGATTAACTGCCTCTTTCTTCAGCTAAGAATGTCCATGTTCGTGATGTTTAAGTTAAGGTCTGTTGAAGGATATGGAGGCAAAAGACTTAGGGTACTTCTGAAGTAGTGTGAAGGATTGCGTTGCTATGTGCTCTTTACCATTTCTTACAAATAAGATAGAATATATTAAATCTAAATTAATGGAAGAGAACTTATTTGGGAATTTATCTTTTCCCTGTATAAAATGTGAATTATGACTTTGGAAAACTTACTTTTCAGAGATTCCACAAGGTCCTATCCTGGCAGATTAATTAACAAGCTTTTAGGCTTTTTAATGACAATGTAGATATTCTACTTTTTACTGTGGGTTACAAGTCTTCTGTTAGAAGCTTATAATTTTTTTTTTTCAGTCAGAGAAGGCTACAAAGTCCGATCTGATGTGAACATCACACTGGAGTTTCGTACGAGAGCAGTACATGGTGTCCTCCTTGGGGTCAGCAGTGCTAAGGTTGATGCCGTTGGACTGGAGATGGTAAATGGCAAGGTAGGCTGCTACATGCCGGCACACTCATTTCATGAGAACTAAGAAGCTAGAACCATTGGGTAGCCCTAATTAGACACAAGTGAAATGGGATGGCGACAAAATGTCCGAAGCAAATCCCCACAGAACTAGTGTGGAACAGACTTTCTGTTTCAGGGTTTTGCATCATCATCATTATGATAAAATATGAGATTAGCAGAAGTCACTGGAAGTTTTTGTCTTTTTAATTAGTATAATTTATGTTATTCTGCAGCCACTGTGACCTCGTGTACAACATACCTTGTATGCTAGACCTAATTTATATCTTTCTCGTAGTTTAGTACTTTTTCTGCTGTAGAGCTACACTTGTCATTGGTAAATGTATTATTGCAAAGCACCCTGTTTTGTAATCTCTTCTTCAATATTCATGAGCAATTAACTCACTCTCTACTTCTACTGGCCATTATGCTCCATAAAGCTTTTAGCAATCAATATATAGTTCTCCACTCATCTTCTGCATAAAAAATGTATACTCGATTGCTCTTAAGTATTTCATTTTCTCAGAAATAGCTCATTTCTTATTCAAAACTTCCTAGCTAGAGACAGTGTTAAATATCACTGTTCCTATGGGACATACATCCACAGTTAATACTTACATATTAATCCTCACCACAGAGTTAAGGAAATGTCTACTTCTCTGAAGAATAAATACATGAAATAAATCAATAAATGTATTGGCACTTACAAGTGCTTTCAGTCCATTCTCTTTCTCTTTGGTTAGATACAGTGAATCTTCTTTCAGATCTGGAGTCTCGGTTTCTCTGAGAAAACACTTGATTTGTATTTGTAAAAAACATTGAAATCCCCAGTGAAGTATGGTATACCAAACTAACCAACACACTTTTGCATGAATAGATCTAAGTCTTTTAGATATTAAAGATATTTCAATAATGACACTCTATCAAAGGAAACATTAGCTTTGCGTAATTAGCAAACATTTATTAAAATGGAAATGTCTGCACTAGCATGATTGTGCTTTTATCTAGGCAAATTAGTTCATGCATTCTTACTTTATATCTTTATTGGCATCTGGCTGTTTATACAGGTTTTATTCCATGTCAACAATGGAGCTGGGAGAATAACAGCTACCTATGAACCAAGAGGTACAGATAGTTTGTGTGATGGAAAATGGCACAAGCTTCAAGCAAACAAAAGCAAACATCGCATTTCGCTGATAGTAGATGGGAATTTGGTTGAAACTGATAATCCCTATATCCAGTCAACATCTGCAGATACAAACAATCCAATTTATGTTGGAGGCTATCCTGGTAGGTACAATAATATTTCTCTTCCTTTCTCCCCCTCCTGCTCTCACTTTTTTGTAAGAATGACTCTTTAACACATGCCCTCCCCCCCCGGACCTTTTCCTCTCTCTGATTAATGAACTTCATGATTGAATTATAAATCATAGCTAGCATTTTCCACATTGTCTCTGCGATCACAGCATATTAATATTTGTGCATACTGTCTTTGTGGAGGACTGCATTTAGATTTAGCTGTTAAATGTGTTGACAAGATCAACTGAACACATATCACTTCCCTACGCAAAACTGCTCCTTAGTTTCTGAGAAGGATTTCCTCCACATGGCTTGTCTTTCACAGTCTCTGAGACTTCACAGCATCCCTGCCTGTGTATATTGAAGTGTGGTTCCCTTGCAGTCAAATTGATATTAAGGCTTTCCTTCACATTCCTATAAGTAAGGTTTCTATAGGGCTCTTTCCTGATTTATTTTTGCTAATGTTTTGTGTCAGGGGTAGTGCAGGCAGGAGTCAAGCTGCTGCAGATGAGCATGTATTTCCTTTGGTCTGTGCAAATTCCCTTCTCCAGTAACTGTCAATCATGTCATGATGGTAAAATAAAAAAATAGTAACACACAAAAAATACAATTTAATTGCCTCTCCATTAATTTGTGCAATTCATAATTTGATAATTTCAGCCAAGACCACTTATCATTAAGAGGATTGAATTTTGAACATCATGATTTTGGCCTCTTTGCAGTATTGAGAGTGAATAGACCTCAGTATGGTTTTGAATAGCTTATGCTTTTAAACGTAGTATAAAATGCCCATATCTGTTTGTCTCTGAAACAGCTGCTAGAGTTTAGCAGTTCAGATATTTCCATTTGTGTGACAACAGACTGATGAGGTCTGAAGGGCAAACCTGTCTTTTACGTGTTTGAAAACTTTAGGAATAAGAGCTTGAAATGTTACAGACCCTTCTGTTGGACAAGGTTTTGAGTGCTTTATGAAAAATGAGTTAATGTTAATTAACAAAATCTTGATTAATATTTGGTCTTCATCGGATACCAAAGCAGCCTTATCAGCATCTTGTGAAACTTTTTTTTTTTAAAATAGTTTAATGTGATACTAATTGTTCTTTCATTGTTCTGTCTGTAAGGAATAGAGTTCATAGAGAAGAGAGAAATTGTTGAGTACTACAGAAGTAGAATGAATTGTTTCACAGCTTGTGTGAAAGAAGAGTTTGACTCTCTACCAGCTTCCATGTTTTGGTTTGCCAATGGAGTCCATGACTCTGTACACCTCAGTTGTTGCTTCGTATTCTGCCAGTTTCAATTTTAAATTGGAAAGCAACTATGTAGAGTGACTTTCCCCTCTCTTCTCTCTTATTTCCCGTTATCCCCTGGGACAAATTACTTCTGCAAATTCTGCACGTTATCTCAGTGCATGGCTCATGCTTGAAGGCAGCAGAGACTATCTATGGTAGGGTGTCCCAGATCTTCTAAACATGGATGGAACTTGGTGCTCATCAGTTGTTTTTATATCTCGTTTGTGAAGGAGGGGAAGCAGTTGAATAATAACCTGGATCTTTGTGTTATTTCAGTTCACTGGAAATAGACTCTACATATTTCACATTTGTTTTTCAGCTGATGTGAAGCAAAACTGCCTCACAAGCAAGAGCTCATTCCATGGTTGTTTGAGGAACCTCATGTTGACCAAGGGCCAACAGGCAGAATTGTTTGACTTCAGCAGAGCTTTTGACCTGCGTGGAGTCTTTCCTCATTCCTGCCCTCAGGCTGAGCACTGAACTGCAGCAAAGCCCATCTGGACTGAGAGAGTTTTTTTTCTTTTCTTTTTTTCTCCTTTTTTTTTTGTTTGCTTGTTTTGTTGATCTGTTATTTTTTATTCTCATTTTGTAATGGAAAGAAGAACTGATGAAAGCCTGTGTCTCTTTGTTTTTCTGGCTGTTTTCCAACTCAGGTCTTTTTCTAGTCAGAAGCTCTTTGTCTGCTTTTTAACTAAAAGGTTTTAAACAACAAATACCTCTACTACAATGTTAATGGCATTAATTGGGTATTTTTCTTTTGGGAATTTTTATTAATCAGTGTTTACAGTATGTTTTCTTTTGATTACTTGACAGTATTTCATTTTATTGTGTGTTGGTCATTTTATAAAAAGGTAATAATTTTGGACCACATAATAAAACTACAATAAACTGTGCATTATTTTATGTAGTTGTCCGTATATTTCAATTAGAAGAAAAAGAGCCAGGTGGCTAAGTGAAATGTGCAAATTAATAGAGTCCAGCAGAGGGAGCAGGAGGCGTAAGAGTAATGAGAAGAATTTTCTTATCTATGCTGTACATGGTAACTTCAATCCATTTTCCTTCTGCCTTAATATCTAGTACTTCTGACCCCTGTTATAGGCACATCGTCTAGGAAGATTATGTTCCTGTTTGTGCTTTCATCTGTTGGTGGAGAAGTTATTTGGGTCTGGCTAACGAACAACTACGTATTTAGTCAATGAGAACTATTGCATTTTTCCTGGGAAAACAGTATTTCTTACAGCACACAGGCAGGCACCTTTTGGTGCTCTGTGTTTCCTAATTCACTGGCCAGTCAGCAGTTCTGTCTCTGCTTTTTCCTGCTGTGCTCTTCTCTCTTTCTAAAATGAGTCTTCCAGTAGTTGTGCTTGAGACAGGTCTGGGGGACACGTAATCCGTTTAACTCAAGTAAGGACATCCATTCCATCAACTGGCCAGATTATTGACCAGTGACAAACATTTCTCATGCTTTAAGATTCATCTGTAATAAACATGGTGACTTCCATCTCCTTTTCTTTTTAGGAACTAGCAGCATTTTTGTTCCCTCCTTACAATTTTGTTTGGCCCTTACTATGCATTTCTACAATTCATTCTATTTTGCTCTATTTATTTCATACTAGTTTAAAAAATACTGGCTCAAATGGAACCACAAAGCAGTTGATCATTGATTTCAGTGAGGCAGGATTCCAAGCAGTGTCATTTTGTACCTTGCATCAAGGTAGTCCAAGAGGAGAGATTCTGGAACAAAGAACTGTTCTATTTGAGCAAGGATGGCAGAATGTGGTCCTTTGTGTAGCTGGCTCTTCGGGTACTATAACAACAGAGTTGCTTTTAAGATAGATTCACTGCTGCTTTTTGAATTTCTATCACCTGTTTCTATCAAAACCCATGTGTTTTAGATGTGAAGAGCCTTCTTTTTTGTTGTTACTGTTTTTATTTTTGACATGGGTACAACACAGTGGACACATTCTACTGTACAAATGCACTTACGTGTGGGCTTACTTCAACAAAACACGTAACATAATGAGGATTGCAAGGGAAACGTACATACAAACATTTTGCTTTGATTAGTGGCATTGTATTATTTTCCAGAGAAGACACACATTAATGGAAAGCTGTTGAAAAATAAAACCTGAAATACAGTGTGTTTGCATTTGTTTTCTGTTAACCCCGAGATCTGATCTCCCAAGGTTCACATTACAAACAGTAATTGAGGCAACGTTATTTGGATCAGATTTCATCCATGTCTTGAAATACGCCTTTTAATATATATATTTTTTTGTAATTTCCAAATCTTGCCCTTAGAAGGAGAAACACTTTATCAATGTAAAACACTAGTGGAGAGGTAAAATTAGTAATAGAAAGTTTTGGTGTAGTAAACCTCGAAGGCAAAATATTGTTTCTGGAAAATGCAGACTGAGGTAGTTAATATTATACATAGCTGCAGACACTTTTGCACACACACACACACGTTCTAATGACATTAGCTGCACAAACAGGTTAGAGCATTCCAGTCTCTTTCCAATACCTACTTCTTACAGTACACACTCTTCTCTCTCTGTGTTGATATGCAAAATGATGTCTTTGTAGAACCATGGAGTATATAAACACTTGAGGCAGCTTTGGAGTTTGCTGAATAAGTTTCTCCCTGCTTGCTACTACTTTCTTATTAATAACTGTCCATATATGTTGCTTTTTATTAGGTCACAATCCTATCATAACTTTTTTGACTTCAGCTGCTGTTAGGAGGAACAAAATTCCCGCTGCCTCCACCAGCATTTTCAAACACAAGGTCTAAAGTGGAAACCCCACATTCAAAAATGAGATTGTTCAATTTGCTGCATATTAAATCAAGTTAGTGCACCACAACAACACAAAACAACTTAATGTGTAACAGTATTAACTACAGCACACATGGGTCATTAGGTCCATTTGTATAAAAAAAGAATTTTGCCATTCAATTTCAGAGACAGCAGGTATTTGGCCATGCTCTAGAAGTCTAGACACTGTACACAGAATCTAGTTCATCTGCTAATGTGCATGTCTTACAAAGTTATAGCCATTCTCCTATAAAAAGATGAGTTTCGTTACATCAGATTTGGCTTTCCTAAGTTGTGAAGTGGCAGAAGGGAAAAGTCTTCCAAAACCCCCTTGTATTCTGCATAGACTACAGCGAGACCTATTTCAGAAATTATTTTGATTAAGTCCTTATTTCAGGGTCCTTATTTCATGCTGGACAAGGTACCATGTGAACATAAGGGTGCTCTGTACTTTCCCTTGGCCATTTAGAACACAGAGTGAAACAAATGGGCAAGATGGAGGGGGTCAGTGTGTTTGAAAGTACTGTAGAAAGTTGTCTCACTTGCTACAACATTTTAAATTCTTTAGTTAATGCTCAGGCTTTCTATATAGTGATAAAAACTCTTTCGCTGGCTATAAATACAACGATGCTTAGCATTTATATGATGCTCTTTATATTCAAAGCACTTTCCACATAAAATCCCTTTGCTGAGTTTGTCCTTCCTAGATGAATGTTTATAACTCCTGATCTGCTCAGGGAATTGTTTGGCTGCATTGGAGAGCAGAGTTTAACTCAACTAATTCTTGTGTTTCCTTTATAAGAAAAGTGCTAGTCCTGCTTTACACCTAGAAGGGTGGCACAGCAGAAACAGTTGTTCGTTGCCACAGAGGGAACTAAAGGGAATCAGGAACACAGCACTTGACAAAACATTTATGTTTTATCCTATGAGCAAACCACAGATTTGCTCTCTCTTATGAATTTAAAATAAATAGTTGTCAAAATAACCAGCGTATTTTTAATAAAACTGTCCTGGTCTTTTCCTGGCTGCAACTATGCATCCATTAGTGTTAAGGAAAAAAAAAAAAAAAAGAAAAAGAAAGTTAAGAAGTTCACTGTCTTAAAGAAAATTAAGGGATAATGTTACTAAGTTTTACCATTTTTCATCTCAAGAAGGTAATAAAGATGGGATCTGCCCTCTGTAGATGTTATTGTTACTGGTAAAAGTACTGATTCAATGTTGATTTCTTTCACTGAACATAAACAATGAATGTTAACTACGAGAGAACATGATCAACTTTGAATCAGAAGGAGAGTTTCCAGAATGTGAAAATTTTCATTGCACAGCTTCAGCAGAGTACACAAGTCACAGGCTGTCTCTGCAAGACGATGTACTTCCGTGTTCATCTGGAGGACTTGATTCAGAGCACTTTTACATTGCTACCTGGTAAACAGAGCACCAGCTCTTGCCTCACCTGTGTGTACAGATCAGGAACGAAACCCCCGGCTCAGCCTGCGGGTGCATTCATTGTGCAGTATCATCACCCAACAATGGAGATGTTGCAGTGCAGTTGAAGACGTTCGTTCATGGTTTTTGCATAGAGCAAAGATGAAAGAAAATAGTTGCTGTTTTCTAGGGACTCATGCTTTTAGTTCTGTAAAGTAACGAGAGGACGTGGTGAAGAATGGCGCTCACCCTTGTGACTGGCTGGAAACTCAACGTACTGACTAGTTCCCAGCACAGTTTCAGCCCACTGTTCTCTTGTCAGCCTGTGTGTTTTCACAAACTGCATGCCAGCCGTATAAGGAGCTGCAATTTCCTATATATTTGTAAAATATTTAGTGCAACTGGGCCTAATTTGGTTATGGTTTTGAGGTCTTAATGTGTAAATGTTAAATTTATAGCATTAAATCCCTCTGCTCACTGGAAGCTCTTTTTCTTCTCCATGTCATATTATATAAAGATCTGGACAATATTACTCTTCTCAATGCAGCTGAATAGTATATAAGTTGCATACATACTAAAGCTAAAATAAACAAAAGAAAAAGAATTAGGTTACAAATTAAGAAACTATAATGTTTAACAAAAAAGGTGATGGATGTAAGTGGCACCATTAACACATGTCATATTATGGCATTACACGGACTTAAATCTGAGAGTATCAAGTAAAAGATAGAGCCAGGGGAGAATGCCCCTTCTCACCTATCATTTGTCTCCTGAAGCTTGTGTGTGTGATGGGAAGGAGAAAATGGTTTGTGGCGCTACAATTGCACACAGAAATGTGATTGAGACAAACAGTTTTGGAAGACTGGTGGTAATATATACGGTGGTACATACATAAAGCATTATAGCAGTTTATACAGTAGTTCTTCCTCCTGCCTCTCTCCTTTCCCTGGCATCAGATACTCATGAGGAGTGACTGAGAGATGTAAATATTGCAGTAATGCACATTGTACAGGTTTACTTTTAGCAGAGAGGTTTGATTTTGTCACACAGCAACGTCTTGGCACTGCTGCATGTCGAGATCCTCTCTTCCATGCTTGGCAGATACCTTCTCTTCTTGAATGTCTACGTGATGATTCTTTGTTAACGCTGTGGGCGGTAGTGTTTCACGCATCCTTGGATGCCAGTGGATTCTTTCCAAAAATTAATGTTTTAACACCAGGTCAGGAAATTAACAACTCCATATGCAAGAGGTTGTTTTCTGTGCACCGTACCTTGGTTTGTCCTCCTTAACTCTCCTTGGACAACTGGCACAAGAGTAATCCATATGAAACACAAATGATGCGGTATTTTCCAGTGGTCCAGAAGCTGGAGTGATAACCTTACACCAGTACGTGGTGACCATCAATT